TGAAGTGGTCATCCAATTTTTCCAAAAAACTGGTTACCTGTGAGTGTCCATTAAACGTTGCTTCTGGTTTCATCGAAGCGCGCATGGTCTGGACAATATACCAAATCCTTCCAGGGCGGCAGCTGGCATTTCTGGATTCTGAGGTTTCTGCAGGCAGCACAGGTTCTTCTTGAAACTCGGCCATGGTTATTCTTCGTCGGGCGCCACTATCAGGTTCAATGTTTCTTCTTAACCTTCTTCGGAAACATACAATGACCTGACTAGAACAGAGAGCTTACTAAAGCTATGTTCACTAATTGTAGTAAGTAGACAGGATACAGACGAAGGGTATACAAAACCCTTTATTTTTTCTTTATATACAATGACTTCCGTACTTCGGAATGACCCTCCACTCGGGGTCTAACTTAAAAGATATCAAAATAAAACTAAACTCTAATTTAACTTTAGAATAAGATTGGCCTTATAATAACAGGAAGCGTATGTAGCACAGAGACTGTGAACACTACAATACGTTTAATTTATCAAGAGGATTAAAACCTCTGGCCTGGAAGGCAAAGTAGCAACTGCGTAACTTCTAAGGTAAGCGGCCTGCTTCGAACTCACGGCTTCCTCTCTTCTGCTTGGCAAAAAGGCCACACTTAAATACTTGGCGTTCGCCAGACAACTTTGCATAAACTCCTTCACGCTTATAATTCTGGCCGGAAGTAGAAAATAAGAAGTGATAGTAAAGATTTAAAATAAAATAAACGTTAGTAAAACTTAAGATCCTTACATGACATATAGATGGTGCTTTTCCATATCGATATTACAATCAGATAAGCAATGTACATGGCAATGCATAGCATAATGACTTGGAACAGCATAAGAGACTTCTACAAAAGTCGCAATTACAATTTATTAAAAAAATATTTATTTATGCATATACTATTTCATACTACAGGCTCTTCAAGAATAAAGTCAAAGGAAAAAAAATTATATTTTATCTGAGTTTGAAACAGTAACACCTTTTACATATAAAGGAATAAAACCTAGAAACAGCCCAAGAAGAAAATAGAAATAAATTAGAATTCTTTTTATTACACAATGAATATCGCAAATTACAAAATCGATCATACAGCAAAGAATAAAATCTTTGATTGAATTATGACTCGGTCTGCAGCATAAGAATCTGCAGTAGACTAAGAATTAACTGCAACTGATTCGAGCTCCGGTGCAGCATATTCAGCATATTCTATTTATACTGCCAAAGAGGGAAAATATTACCGGAAACTTCCAGAATGTGTCTAAGTTGGAGAGAAATCGCTCGATGTCTATAACTTGGCGATAAAATGTGTTGATTTGTAGACCAGCTTATATTTAAATTTTATTTCTTTTCCCTGTAGGGACTATTAAATTTTCGGAGCATGAAACGTGAAAAATCAAGTATGTAATCCCCGGGATTTGAAAACGGATATCCAGGTTATAAGGTATTTCTCCCGCCTTCGTGGTGTAATGGTCAGCACACTCGACGCGTATTCAAGAGATCCCGAGGTTCGAATCCCGGCAAAGGCATTGCTCATTTTTCATGTCTCCTGCTTCGAAATAACCTAATGTGCTCCAGTGGCGCCCGAACTAAAAACGGTGGTGGATGATGATTCTTCACCACCAGGATTTGGCGATTAGGTCCTCTAATCCCCAGTATCCTTTTAAAAGGGGGAGTATGTAAGGTATTTTTCAGTCCAGCGAGCACGTTGCTCATTTTTCATGTCTCCTGTTTCGAAATAACCTAATGCTTCTACAGGGTTATTAGGTGGAATTATTACAGTTTAAGCCAGAAAAAGAACACGGAAATCCGATGATTTCTTATAGTCTTCTCTACTAAACGGCGACTGGGGAGAGCTGCGAGGCCCACTCAACCAATTCCAAGTGATGATGAATTTATTTTCCACCACATTTTATCTGGGAACCACTGGAGATGCATTAAGTTTTTTAGATTAGGTAACGTGAAAAATCAGTATGTTTTCGTCGGGACTAGAACCACTGATCTTGCAACTGCTAGTCGGGTGTGCACTTACAGAGAGCACGTATGGAAGAATTCGATAATTATTCATAACTATGATCTGGTTTCATCTGAATTCTATAATAATCTAGCTATGAATACATATTACCGATATCAAGCACCATATTTACTGACATATTTCTTCACCTCGCGTATTATTTCTCCATAATGTTTTCAGCATGGGGAGAAATAGAGTAAATGCTGTGTTAATTAACCCATTGTGTTAAAGCAACATATCATGTGACCTGAAATGTTCACTTTGTATCTGCAGGTACACCTCGCAGTTTCAGCGCCCGCGTCTTGGGTATGGTGTGGGCAGGATTCGCCATGATAGTTGTAGCATCTTACACTGCCAATTTGGCAGCTTTCCTCGTTTTGGACCGACCAGAAACGTCCCTCACAGGCATCAACGACGCGAGGGTAAGTAAGATGGCCCCTTTTATTCTCTAAAACATTAAAACTTTGCAAATTTTACCACTCTACCAACAGACAGATGTTAAGCACTCTAACTTAAATGACCAATATTTTTAACTCAGTCAAAGTTAGCTAGAAAGGTAGAGATGTTACTCTAAATCGACCAGATCTGCCAGACTGTGAGGCATAGTCCTGTATTTAAGTTCTGAGTTCCGTTTTGAGATATATTTTGAAAAGTATTTCAGGCTCTGTAAATGTTTGCAACCGAATTATGAAAATAGTCGAAATGAATTTAGTTAATATTTATCTTTATGGTCACAGAGAATTTTCTTTGGATCAGAAATAGGTTTTATTATCAAATAATTGTGCGCTCTAGATATACATTATAGGGAATCTGCTATGTCCTAAAAAGAATAGCTTGTAAGCTTGTAATATAATATAGATACAGGGTGCGGCAGGAAAACTACATTATTTTTAAAATGAATAACACAAATAGTATAAGCGATATCAATTTAATTCTTTTCCAAGAGACAATTAAAGTTTTTTTATATTACGGTTTAAAAATAATACCATTAAGGTGGTCTCCGTTCTGGTCAATGCATTGAGATAGTCGGAGTTTTGAAGTTTCTTTCCACTTTTACCAACATATCAACGGGTATGCTGTCGATAGCAGCTTGAATATTGTTTTTCAGAGTTGAGCCAGGGTCTTTGGGCGTTAGAGATTTCAGACAGCCCCACAAAAAGAAATCACACGTGAGGAGATAAGGCGTCCAGGAAAATGTTCTCCAAAAAATCAGGGTCCAATGATGCCTATTCTGGACAATGCACACCAAACAGTCACACTTCTGTATGGAGGGGCTGCTCATGAAATTCTCGGGAATTCGTGCCACTCCATTATCGCACGTGTTGCTTAATGCATGTTGCAGCCGGAAAGATGAAAATGAGCCTCATCGCTAAAAAACACACGGACATCATGAGGCGTATTGTCAAAAATGGCTTTGCATGCATTTTTTCGTGAGAGAAAATCGCGTGGATTAAGTTTTTGCACCACTGCCAATTTATATCGATGAAAATGCAGTATGTTGAAAGGCACGACTCCACGGAGAACGTACGCTCCTCTCTTGTCCACTGCATGATCGCTACTAAACCTACATGACATAAAACTTTAGATACCGCTCTTTTCATGGAGCGCCGCTCCACCCTTCTCGGAATAAATGTCGCTAGATGGCGCGCGTTTCAAATGAGGAAGTTTCCCTGCCGCACCTGGTACTGCTATTCCAATTGCATTATATATTAGGAAAACTGCAGAATAAAATTCTACAATTTATAGAAAATTTAAATAGATCATATTTGGAAAAGATTGGAAAAAGGAGAAGGTGGAATGCGTAAAAAATGCAAAACTTCAGAAAGAAAATATTATGACAAATTTGACAATTTTCAGACAAAGAATTTTTCAGTGGAGTATTGTTCTTGGAAAGATGTGTAACAATTATAAGAATTAAAGGATTGCCTTAATATAAAACTGAAGCTGATGGAAATGGAAGGAAATTTTCCCCATTTTTAGAGCAGTCACATTTCTGTTAAGTCTATAACATCAATAATTGAACTGCATTTCCTAGAACGCATTGTGTATTTCGATAGAAACTGGTGTTAAACTTGCCTTGGAAAGCGCGCACGAGTGAATCTGCTAAGTAAATTCCAGAACATAAATGGTTACTGGCATTGAATATCATGAAAAGTCATATTGTGCAAGATGATCACTTTCGAGGTTGACCAAAAATCGTTTAAAATCGTAGGGTGCTTTTCTTTAGAAAGTTTAATTGAGAAATGGAGGCAACAGGGAAAAACCGGCTGAATATCTTATCAACTGACATAATTATTTACGTCAGTTGTTTGAAATGGTAATATTGTGGTTCAAATGAAATTTTTAACTCTAAATTCGCTAAAACTACGGATGATATTCTTAAGAAAAATGCAGATATTTGAGAAATAAAAGTAGAATATTGCATTATTCCAGCCTCTTAGGCTTTAACCTCTAATTCGCAAGACTATGGTTAGTTCACCTGGGAAACAATGAGTGCTTCATAATGTGTAAGATGTAACAGCATAGATTATAAGGTACTTCTCCCGCCTTCCTAGCGTGCTTTCGTGGTTTAGTGGTTTTGCACGCTGGGCCGTTATTCCAGAGGTCAGTGGTTCGATTCCCGGCGAAGGCGTTCCTAATTTTACATCTTGCCTGCTTTCAAAAAATACCTAATGTCTCTACAGTGGAGCCCGAACTAAAAGGGTGTTGGAAGAGGATTCTCCATACCCAGGATTTGGCGATTGGGTCCCCTAAAAACCCCAGTCTCCCTTTAAAAGGGGGAGTATATAAGGTATTTCTCCCGCCTTCCTAGCGTGCTTTCGTGGCGTAGTGGTTATGCACGCTGGGCCGATATTCCAGAGGTCCGTGGTTCGATTGCCGGCGAAGGCGTTGTTAATTTTTCATCTCTCCAGCTTCAAAAAAAAAAAAAAAAAAAAAAAAAACCTAATATCTCTACAACATCAATATGAATACATTAGAGCATATCAGTGAGTAAAAGGCAGATGAGCAAGAAAGATATGCAGTGTCATTCGTACTGCATGCTAGTTGCGTAATAATCGTATTTTGTGACAGCCATTTTGTAATGGCACGCCATCGCTTATGCTGAAAGGGAATTAATTGGTTATAAAGAGGAATTCCTTTCATAAAATAAAATCTCCCGTCATCTTTTCAACATAGCAACATTTATTTAATAATAAATGAATAAATAAATAAAAAAATAAAAAATAAAAATCTGAAAGCTTTCAGATTTTATATTATGCCCAAAGGGACATTTTTAAACGTTTTGTGTGTTATCATTATTTATTAAATGTAATGTCCTTCGAACTTAAACCACAGAACACTTATCAGCAATATCGCGAAATATTAATAACAGCATATCTTTAGAATTTCCGATACACAGTCTCACTCGCTGGAGATAAAATTGTTTTTTTTTTCCATACAGTGTTGCCATTGCTCGCTTTGAAACCGTTGTGTTGGTTAATCAAAAATTCGTTGAACTTTTACAAAATATGATATAGATCATAAAATAAATTCGAAATTCAAAATTCGGTCGCCCAGGTTCCCATGTTCGGGTGGAGGAGTACGTTATTCAAAATTTGATGGCTCTAGGTACAGTCTTTTTTTTTTTTTTTTCAGAATGCGAGAAACATACACACATCAACGCAGATTCTTCATTATTTAATTCCTTTAAATATAATACAGGGATCTAATATTTGGTGTCAACAGTTTAAAAAGTGATTTATAGTGAACCAAATGCTGTTTTGACTAAACAGCCTTTCTGAACTAACGCTCGTTTGGACTAAAAAGGAACATGGAGTATGCGTCTGCACACGATACCTAGCGGAACTACAGTACTCACACAGACATGGTTTTATAAACAGTTAGAAAGTAAATAGTAGATTAAACGTCCAGTTCTGCTACAGTATACCGCCCCCTTGTAAATAGTGTAGGTATTGACACATCATATGTAGCGACGATTAAACCTCACTACTCTACGCGAAAGAGTAGTTTTTTTGAGGGGATATGTTACTTCTCTTGATGAATCCACTGAGCTAGTGGTGGTGGTTTTTGAACTACCACTAGGAATAACTGTTGTTGGAGATTTATCACTAGGGATAACTAGAATCGATGTGGAACTGTCACGAGGAATAACTAGAGTCGTTGGCGGTACGTTGTTCTGAGTAATGCAGGCTGGTTTCAAACTACGAATTCCTATAACGGTTTCTTTTCCATTTATCAGAATGGTGAAGTTTTTACCAATCCATTTTATAATGTGATAGGAACCACTGTAGCGGTTTCTTTTCCATTTATCAAGAATGGTAAAGTGTTTACCAGTCAATTTTATAATGAGATAGGGACTATTATCCTGCTGTACGAGTGGTGTTTTTACTGTGTCTTGTGCGTAAAAATATGAGAGCAAGTGTCTAAGAAGGGAAGCACAAAACAGAAGGATATAATGTGTGAAGAACTAGAAACTTGAGATTATTCCCATACGGTGTTGCGTAGATACTGTAGGAAAATTGGAGGATCCGTTTGCAACGAGTGATTAGAGGACTGTAAGAGGTCAATGTTGTTCCGTAGAGCATCTAAGTAACTAATAATAAGTATCACCAAGGTTCTGTTTGAATGGAGTGGAGGCCAAGAAGAATAATTGTAAAGATTCTGTCCAGTATGTATTATTACGACACTTGAACGCTTGCTTAAGGGTCTATGAAATCTTTCAAATAGTCCACTGCTTTATGGAGGGATTCAAGTGCAGCGAATTCCTGTAATCTTGTTGAAAGAGGAAAATTGTTTCCCTTGTCTATAGTTTTGGGACTTCGAATCTTGCGGTCCAGTGTGTAATGGATATGCGAGCGACTGTTTCACTAGGGATTAGTATCGCCTCAAGCCAAAGATAAAAACGATATATAAAGGCGACAATGTACATACGTAATATCCCTCAGATGGAGGAAAAGGTCCCAAGAACGTGCTCGAATCTCTGAGAAACAATTAGAAACTACTGTAAACAATTGAGAGTTTACCGATGAATTTCGATCACTAAACCTATGTAAGACCGTTTCCAATTCGATATGTCTTTGAATATACTTGGGCTCACGAATCATTGTTGAATAAGTTATCGGGAGGATATTTGGACAAACAGTGGAGGTCTAAAGATTAAGAATGATTTCTCTGAAACATGTGATTGGCCTTTTCCAATGCTAACGGAACAATAAAGTTTTAAATTAGGATACATTTGCGAAAACTGGAATGGAAGTCATGTTTCACTCTTGGAAATTAGGTCAGATAACTGGGTATCCTTAGCCTTCTCCTCAGCTTTAATAGAAAACTCATTTAAAGCTAGATGGGTCTCATATATACAGTACATAAGATATCAGCCTCAATATTATAGGATCCAATAACATGCCCGATATCCGTACTGAATTGTAGTTTGTAGTCAAGGTGCCTAAATTGGCGAGGGAAATATGAATCAGATCCTTCTGAAAAAGCGAATGTCAAGGAATTATGGTCTCTGTGTATTGTAAAATAACTTTATCAGTTTATGAGAAAATAATGCTAGAAGTTGCAATCATTTAACACATTTAATACAACGCCAAGTTCAATGTTAGAAACATTGGCCGTCAGGAATAGCTATTGGAACATTTAGATTTGCCGATTTCACAAGGTTCTGTTTACACGCTTCGAATACTTGCGTTAAAGTATCGTCACACGGAACCAAACATTTGTTGTTTTTCTTGGAGTGTTTCAGCAGTTAATGTGAGTCTGGGTTTTGGCAGCTTTTGGGATGAAACGACAGTAAAAATTAAGCATTGCCAAAAAAATTAATAAATTGGCGACTTATCCTCTGGATACACATGTATGCTTTTGATGAACGATGAGTTCGGTATTTCATTTATGGAAGTCGTTATACTGGAAGAGAACTAACTGATTATAAAGATTAATTTGTTTAATAAAATTTAATCACTAATAATCTTCAAAACATTACGATTATTATATTTAACAAAAACAAGCTATAAGGACCGCGAGTCTGCAAGCGATATCAAGCGGAACTACACTTCCCACTGAGAAACAGTTACATAAACAATTGGAAAGTAAATAATAGTTCAAAAGTCCATTTACGGTTAAACTGTCACACATATAGTTGTGTTATAGCTCATTACTTATTTACTTTTTATTAGGCGACTTTAAAGAGTACTTATGTAGTCATCACGAAGTCCCCATCGGACTTTTACATTTATGGATTTTTTGAAAATCTTAGTCTAAGTTAACACAATTACTAATCTTCAACATCTGAAAAAGATTTTTTCCAAGTGCTCTCAGACTGGTTTTAACATTTCAAAGAAATATTCGTCACGTCTTTTTTCAGATGAATTCTACCCTGGAAAAGGTACTGAGTCTCTCCCTGTTATATATATCCTACTGCGTAGAAGATATAATCCCTCACATTAGGCTAATCTTACCATTTGAAAGATAGGACTCGTTACGTCTGTCATCAGATAGATTTTATCATTCGAAGAATTTTTGTCAATTTTTTCATACCATTTGGAAGAATGAATAATTCATACTTATTCATCAATAGTATGCTGCTGTTTGGAAGAAAGTATCCATCACGCCTATCGAAGAACTTATCGATGATTATTTTCAGGAGAGGATTAGATTATTCCATTAGCAGCATGTACATGTTTTTTGCATACTCTAGAATTGACGCATTTTTTAAAGACTTTGCTAAAAAAACCTTCGAGGCTGTGCTTTGAATGACTTAAATACTGCAAATGACACGTAGGGCTATCTGCGTAAGGTTAGAGTCTAAATGAATATTCAGTAAATTAAGACTAGAGTCAAGGCATAAAAATATCTCACATTTAAGGGTTTCTCAATCTAAAATAAATCTCACGAGCGCAAAGGATTAAAAATTTGCGAAAATCATGGTGATACCAAAATTTGCCCCTACAAGTTATTGATGGTTTGGCTATTTTTTTCTAGCTGAGAAACCCAATGGACAACTTTAAGTATGCAACGGTAAAAGGAAGCTCGGTGGATATGTATTTTCGACGGCAAGTGGAACTATCAAACATGTACCGGACGATGGAGGGAAAGAATTATGACAGTGCAGAAGAAGCCATAGCAGCTGTCAAGTCAGAGTGAGTATTAGTGTATTTTTTGCGATCAATAAAATGATTGAAAATTTTATTCATAAGTTAATGATCCTAGATATGTAATTCCATTTTCAAAAATTTTCAAAGAAAGTAGAAAATTTCGTGAAAACAGTATTGGGGGCGGGAGGTTGTGAAGCACCTGCAGAAATCTTTTGTTATGATATTCATTGTGATATAATAAACTGAATACAGAAAGTTTCTGCAAGTTCAGTAATACGGAAAGTTTTGCTTCATCCAAGAATAAACATGCATCCAAGAATGAATTTGTATTTGGATTGCATACTAGAACTGTAAAAAGGACGAATCAATTTTAGGAGGTTTACTGAAGCGCAGTTACTGAAATTCATGTATAGAAAAAGAAGGGCTTTTGGCGACAAAAGAAATTAAAATTATAGTTCTTTTTCAGAAATTTCAATATCTCAGTTCCAAAATGATTGACTGCATGACGGTAAATCATCTTTATTCCCGATCATGTGATGCTTCACCTGCTTCTTTTAGGAGCGAAAACATGCGCTCATATTTTTCGCTATGATTGTGATTGCTTTCTTGGCAGTCTTTGGATTCGAATCTTTTACTAACTACCTGGCTACTTACTTTAGATATTTTTAACGCAGCCACTATCATTATTAAGTCATGTTTGATTGCTCAGTTTTCGATTTCTTCCGCAAATCACCTTTAAACCTGAGAATCCGAAATCTAAGTAGTTTTGTTTTGAAATTTTATAACTCACATTTCGAATCAAAATAACCTACCTAGTGTTTTATGTGTGTGTATTTTCCTTACAGTGCTCTGAGCGCGTTCATTTGGGACTCGTCCCGCCTGGAGTACGAGGCCGCCCAGGACTGCAACCTGGTGACTGCCGGCGAGCAGTTCGGCCGCTCCGGCTATGGCATCGGGCTGCAGAAGCATAGCCTATGGGCAGACCAGGTCACCCTGGCGCTGCTGGGAATGCACGAGAGTAAGTATCAGAAATAATGCTTTATACTGATTTTCCAGAGAATGTGCTCAGTGATTCCCATTTTTTCCCTCGACCAACTTTGTGCCGTTTCATTTACGTTTAACTAACAATTAAGATTTTCTCATCTTTCCTTTTTGCCTCGCATTCCGACATGCTCTCTCAGTCCAGAGGTTTATGCAAATTTTCTGGCAAGCAGTGTAGTTTAAATAGAAAGGAAACTGAAAGGACTTGTGGTAGAGACTCTGGTTGTTGCAAATGACCTCATTTTTGCTTTAGATATTAGGAACGTTTATGCCAAATGTAAAGTCGCATTTGGTATAACCGTGACTAACGTTAGGTTGCCCAACTCAGTTAAATCTTGTATCTCCGAATGGGAGCAATAGTGCTATAGCCTGTTAATTTGTTGCACGTTTCAGCCAGCAGTTGGAGGTCAAGGAGACTTAGATTTTGGGTTTGTATTATTCTAAGTTAACCAACAAATGGGGGGAATAAAGTTAGATTTTGTTTGTCTGTTGTTTCCACAGTCAGTTTAAGTCCAGGAAAGACCAATGCTCTATTTGTACCCTCTGGGAATGAATATAGTAATCCGAATAACTTAAATTCCGGACATTTCAAGCATAGATAATGAAAGCCAAATTATATTTTAAATTAACCAAAAAAATCTGCCCTTTTTCAGATTCCTCTTTTACTTTTCCCACATAGGTGGTTACATGGAAGAACTGGATAATCGCTGGATTTTACAAGGCAGTGAGACGTGCGAAAAAAACGAAAAATTTCCCGCTACTCTGGGCTTGAAGAATATGGCAGGTAAGGAACGATTGATTCTATTAGCTACCAGTAAATAGTTGGCATTCATTTATACATAAATACGTCCTACAGGACGTATTTTTCAAATGCGAATTAGAAAGTTTGATATTTAACATTACCTTTTTTCAAAGTAGGATAACGCTTTTATTGTACATAGTAATAAATACAACTGAAAATAGTCAGCTAAGTGCTTTGGGTTTCATGAAATAGGTCTCATTTTTTCTGTACGATGTCTTGGATATGTATTCATTGACAACTAAGACATTGCTACCATCAAACCCGGCTATAGCGTTTATGGCGTCCTAGTCGATTAGTTCATTTGGCGCTCCTTGTAAATGAAAGCATATTTATAATTCAAGAGACACCAGGTACAAATAAAAGTCTCTGAAACTCGACTTTTAAGGTGACTCTGGCTACTTTGGGTATATGTTACTTATGTCTACGCCCTGGCTGCCATCTCCCAAGTACATTTGTCATGTGCCAACATGCGAGACTAAGTGTTTCATGTAACATTTAATATATCCTGATGAACTGTCGTAAAACGTGAGAAACATTTTGAGCTTTCATTAAAAAAATTGCATAGTCTTCTCCGAGATACTTCTTCTTCGGTTTGGTGAGATAAAGTGGCTCTCATTCCTTCCCTCGAATTCTACTGTAGCATACTTTTTATGTGGAGTATTAAAAGTTTCCTCTCACAACCTGTCTAACAGCCTTAAAATGGAATTCATCAGGAGATTGCAAATTTTACCCCGGGTATTCTATAAAAAGGTACTTGGGAGATAGCAGCAATGCCTTCATTAGCATGCAGATAATTCCAAGGCGTTGTTATAAAAGGTTAGGATTGTTTTGTGAATGCAAGACTTTGACTTACCTGATCATAATCAAGTTGTATTTATTGCTGGGCACAGCAAACGCTGTACGAAATCTAGCAAAACTTCTGCTTTGAAGACTAGCACAGTTAAATGTCGAATCTGATATATTGTAGCAAATGCTGTCAACATATTTGTAGTCATTAATAGACTTTTATGTTCAAGCCTTTGTAATGGCATCATTTCAACTACTGTGGACCGTTACATTATACTTGTACTAAGCTAATAAACCATTTAATACTGACACAATATGGCAAATATCGACAATGCACAAGACGAAAGACTTTTATTTATTATTCACGCTTCACAGGAAGCACACCATTTCTAGAATGTTGCAATTTGGAAAATCAATGAAAAATATAAAAAATAAATTTAACCTAAAATACTCAGATAGAAGAAATGAAATTACTTTTTAAAATGTTTGCAATTCTCTATCCTCAATATCATATTTGTCCTTTATATAACTTAAAATTTAAAATTTTTACCTTTTCATCTTTATTTAAATTAAGAATTATTTATTATAAATATAGTAATAAAGTGATATACTTAAATATTTTTTATTTTTTTCCGACTGTCTATTAAAATTTAGGCATCTTTTATTTAAAGAATACCTTGAATAGTAACAGAATTAAATCCTGCATGCGTTAATTCTCGTATTAAAATTGAGATTTAAGTTTATTAATATTATAGTTAACTTGTTACATTTTGTTTACATTTAGTATACTTAATTTCACGAGGGTTATAAAATAAAAATATTAAAAATTAATGAAAGTTTGTTTAAAAAATGCAATTTCTAAAAGAAAATTGAAAACATCGCTATGAAATTTAAAATGTTATTTTACGCAGTGTAAATGTATATATACGTTTTATGTATGAAGCCAAAACAATTTTCAAATTTTTCTCACTCAGTCATTAAAATGACAGAGAGGTTATGATTAAATGACATTCAGTCATTAAATTCTTACTGCATAACTGAAGTCATGCAGTAAGAATGTCATACAGTCATTAACCTATGCTACAGTATCACAGCTTTTATTTGCCACTTATGTAGCTGCATTAAAATTATGAAATTGATTAACGAACGTAAATGGGTAAAAAAGCTTTAAGTAACTAGCCTCATCTCTTAATTTTTGAGAGTATGTATGGCGGTGTACAATATGAATTTTATGCTTACAAAAAGGGGATGAGTTTCTCAATAACAAAGTAGCTTAGCAGCAGGCAAATGGCAGAGGTCGTTGAATATGGTAGTTCACCCCACGGTCGTTTTGGATCGCCAGCAAGCGGGTAGTGTAGTTGCTAAATGCTATTAGTTCGAGATGGATTCACGGGAATGATCTGGGTGCATGATCGTTTTCGTACTTTTCCCTATGTGTAACGAGGATACGAATCAGTTTTCCTTAGAAATTTCTTTACAATGGTATCCTTCCCCTCAGGATACAAGCCTAGCATGCTTTGCCATAATGAAAACAAACCAAATTAAACGTCTTGTGCTCCAGTTTCCGAGAACTGACTGGCTACATGAGGGTTAGCTTGGTGTTTAATTTTACAATCGGAAGGCAGCTATAAATTGCATAAGAAATTCTATCATAAATTTCCGAATAAAAAGTAAAATTAAGTAACTTAAAAATTTCATAAATAAAAAACTAATTAATTAATATAACCATATTCTTTTGAGCAACGCACACTAGTGTATCCATTAAGAGAAGAATTGTCTTACCAGAGGGATTTTAAGACAAGCTGGCTCCTATTCACGTTACACATGGAAAAAATTATGAAACACTCGCATGAAGCCAGTACGTTTGCCGGAAGTAGAACACGGGTCGGACTACTAGTGTTCAGCGATTTAGTATCATTTTTCTCTTTGTCGTTCCTCTTAATGTAATCTAAATTAATGTAAGAGATTTTAAACGTAAATTCACCAGCTCGGTGTTTGAATAATTTATCTAAATAGCTCAACATTAGTTCACACTTATATCAGAGCTGTGCGAAAGTCTAAAATTATAAATAATTCCATGTACTTGTTACAATTCTATTTCACAATGTTTTAGAAATAATATATGCGGTTTATTGCATTTTTTATTTTGCATAAGCTATTGGTGCCTTATGGAGTCAAATATTTCATTTCGATCGTTATGCTGCAGGGAATTCATGAATTATAAAGTATTTCTTCCGCTTTCTTAGCATGCCTTCGTAGTTTAGTGGTCAGCACACTCTGCGTGTATTCGATAGGTCCGTGGTTCGAGTCCCGACGAGGGCATAGCACACTTTTCATTTCTCCTGCTTTTAAAAAATGCTTAATGTCTCTACAACTTTAGATACGAAATAAAAGCAAACTTATTTTTAGAGGTGTGGAGTTAATTGCCTTGGTGAAAATAAATCGCACTAATTTCGCAAGATATGCACGATGAGAATGCATTCTTGTTTATTTATTTCAAGTCGGCTAACTAGCTTTCTTTTATAAACATTATTAATAATGGACTTAGGAGTTCGAACCTGATCGGGTTTTGAATTCCGGTGACGGCTTTATATCGTAAAAGTATAGTATAATTGCAGCAGGGACACAAATCCTCAGCAAGCGAAAGGGCTCTCGAGTAGGTTGATGGTAGGGATGGTAGACCCTTGAACCTTTTTCCCCGGGAAACTCTTGGACGGAACTGGAGTTAGTCATTCAGCCGATGATATGACTGTATCATCGGAAACATTAAAATCGTTTAAACGCTAAGTTAAAAAAAAATTAACTGAATTTTGAAAACTTTTCTTCGCCACATTGCATTATCCTCGAGAAACTGTGTGTATACAAAATTTGAATTCGATAGCTGATCAGGAAGTAGCCTGAAAATCGGGGACAAAATTCCACTTATAGTGAAACACCATGCGTTCACTAAACAGAAGCTTAATAAAATTACTTATACGAATATCTTAATTTATTTTAATTGCAGGAAAGCACGCAAGAGCTATTTGCCTAATGAGACAGATGTCTCAGTAAAATAATTTTTAAGGGAACTGGATTGGATTCAAGTTACAAGTACTACATAAACGGAAAAACACCCATTCACCAAGTCCGTTCGTCGGGACGTGAACTGTGATTGAACTACTACATATACAAAATTTTAAAGTGAGAACAAAAGTTATTTCAGATCATACTGAAAGATTTGTCGCCCAGGTATAGTAGTTAAGGGAGCCTACTGAGGTACTGAAGGGCCCGGACTAAGGGACTTCGAATCTTGGAGAAGGCATGGCTGAAGTGTTCTTCCCTTCATAGAAGGTAACGGTGGCCCACCAAATAGGTGCTTCCACAATAAAGTGGGCACCACTTGCAGCCAAGCCTAAGTAGGCTAAGTGCCTGCCGCTGAAAAAGAATAATACAGATAACAATTAAAGATCGCAATCCGTTAGTGCTGTAATTAAACCGATGTCTCTTCGTGCAGTGCGATGACTTGCAAAAGTCCCTTACATTTAAAGTTTTAAACTTATGTTTTTCTGTACAGTGCGAGGAATCTCATATAGTAGTTACATGCGTTCAAAGTGCCTTAACCTGATGTTTGTCCCTTCGTCTTTTTACATTCAGGGTTTAATTAGATATCACTTCATACAGGGCACTGGTTTCCATATTGTAGTACTTTATGTTTAAGAGGCATAAATTCGGTGTTTCTTCATAGAATACGATGGCTCTTATACTGTAGTTCTTTACATTCAAATGCTATTGTTAAGTCTATGGCTTCAGGGAAATTCGTGTTTGAAAACTAGTCAGCTTTAACATTTGTGTAAACTACGTAAGTTAATTAACATTTAGTTAACTGACTCATCATTCATGAGTTATTTTTTATTTCATAAAATTAAAACTTTTGTACTCTCATAGGGGTCTTCATTCTGGTCGGGGCCGGCATCGTGGGTGGCGTCGGCCTCATCATTATCGAGATCATTTACAAGAAGCATCAAACGAGAAAACAGAGAAGACTAGAAGTGGCTCGACATGCCGCAGACAAGTGGAGGGGAGCCGTTGAGGTACGTTTGACTATTATCCACTATAAAACGAAGCCTTTATTGCATATGAAATATTTTTCAACAAGCAGCGCTTGAATCCGTGTTGCATACACATGATAAATAAGACTGTATTTCGCCTGATATATTTTTATATAGCCAAAATTTCACGTATTATTTTTGATGCAACATTTTTGAATAAGTATTTTTTAACCAATATTATAACTCTTCATTGTCCATAATACCTTTCTAAATAGCCAAGTTTAAGCCATTCCTGTCAACACATTTTGAGTAATTTACCCCTGAAATGCAAAATTCGCGAGGTGTTCGTGGAGTAAGTAGTAGAAGCTCGTGGAAATTTCGTGGCTTGGGATTTACATAATAATAAATAATAATAATTTTACAAAGAAAGATTTACATTAACTTTTTTGGCGGAGGCGAGACTGTATATCAGAAACGCAGCAATCACACAAAAACTAGTACGTAATTAAATAAAAACTGTACACTTTGAAATTTACATTTATTAACCAATCATACTCTAGAAGCATATCCAACAATGCTTGTTTTAGAACAAGATTATCACTTAATGGGACATCGTTATCATAGATTATATCGCACATACACAGAATTTCTTGATTAAATAATACGCTTTTAATAAAGAGTAGTTCATCACAGAGGGCGTCTTTCTGTAACCACGGAAAACGACAGTTTTACGTACTTCGAAAATCTCCCAAAGGTTAGAAGGCAATTTTTTTTTAAATCTTGCATTTATCATTAAATAGATTATTGTAGAAAAGTGAGCTTCTCATATAAAAGGAAATTAAAACAACAACTTGAATCCTTTCAAAACTGAAATCACCAACTTATTCGATGTATTGTGATAATTATTTGGGGTGAATATTTCGGATGAAATATCAGCTTTCGATAACACCCAGAAAGGAAAATGTATTTTGAAATTCATATTTAGTGCCACTGAATGTAACATGCGTCAGAGATTTCAGTTTATTTATTAGTTTTGCTATGTTTTGATTAGGGCTTCCAATCAACCGTATTTTTATGCACTAATTTTTGGATTACAGGATAATATGGTAAACGACAGCTAATAAAAATCTCATTTGATTTAGAAACCAAAAAAATTGTTAATTTATAAAATGAGGTTACTCAAGCATAAAACTTTAAATATGTGCTGTAGATCGGAACTGAAAGCGTGAAAATTGTTCATAACTTCCGGAATCTTGCCTTCAACTTGCATTACTTCAGTGCTCTGAAAGTGAGTTATGTTGATGATCTGTTGCTTGTCTTTGATAACTAGGTACGATGTCACACCATCCGTGTTTGTAATTACATTATTAAAATTTTCCTGTGACACACAGGCTTTTGCAAGAAATGATGCAAGTTTTACTTGTAATTCTAATAGTAAATCTAATAATAGAAAAATCCAACAACACAGAAAAATATCAAGGATTATTAAAACCAGGTCGAACAGTATAGCACCAGGGTACTAGTGCAGCAAGTGCTACCTCTATCGAATAAATATTCTCTTGAAATGTTTACAGCAAACTAACTAAACTAACTAACTTTAAGCAATTCTTCACTATATTTAAAAGGTAAATAACTATATAGAAAAGGTGATTATATGGTACTTAACTAAATATATATATACATATAGTATATATGTAAGATATAACAAAATACGAAAGCTGCTTTAAAAATAAATGGCGACCTCAAAATTAACGATTTGGTGCTCTTCCCCTTAATTCATCTGCTCTCCCAAATTCGAAATCCTTCCATGATTATAAAACAACCTCAAAATTAATCAATCATAGCTTATCTCTACAATTACATCAGACTTATTATAAATACCGCTCGCAAATAAACTCCGTCATCTTCTTCTCCCAGCCTTCGCCACGCCAAGACCCACGCTGCTTTGCTAAAATGATATCGCTCCGTTAATCTGTGTATATAAGAAATTATTGTAATGGTTTATGATTAAAAAATATATTGTCTACGAAGACTTATTCTAATGTGCCTGGAAATAAAGATGGTAATTAGCTGAACTTGGTTTGCTATAAACATCTTCGTTCCGTCTTGCCGTTTTACTATCACGACTACACATAAAAAATATTACACACACACACAACACACATATATATATATATATATGTGTGTGTGTGGGTTCTTGTGTTTGAGAATCACAATTCATGTTTAAACAAAACACATTTAATGAAACATTAATACATCTATAATATCGTTCATATATTAATACAACATCTATAACAACGTATGTCTATTAACACAACATCTATAACATCTTATATCTATTAACATGACAAATATAACGTCTTACATTTATTAATACAACATCTATATCATCTTGCATCTCCTCTCATAAAACAAAGTGGCGAGAGTTCTATCAATTTCACTCGTGCAGTCAACAGCTAAAAATTAAACAGCGCGCGAGGAAAAATATTAAGCTATGGATTTAAAATCCCACATTCGGCTTTCCTGCTAGACAATATTCTACTCTTGACATCATAAATCATTGGTCATCTTACATGATCGTTGTCTTCGGTAAAAGAAAACCATCATCAAGATAAGCCGAAACCTGAAAAGAAGTACGAAGGGAGAGGGGAAGATTGTGTGCTAAGGACAATATTGAAAGGAAACATCTTAATTGTCCTTCATCTTTGCAACAATAACATCGTCAACAGTCCCTTCTATTTTTCAGAAATTTCATCTAAATCGAAAATTATCTTCAATCTTTAACATTTTTGGAAAAGTTCATTTCATCTTAAAAATAACATTAACTGAAATAAAAGTCATCATTAGGTGAAAAATCACAGTTCGATTATTAGTTGTATCACTCCAGGTTAAAACGTCATAGTCAGTATTATTTTATACATCTTCTTCTGCTTGGGTCCATTGTTTTATGTACTCAGCGCATGTAGTTGTTTTTGTGGGTCCTTCATGATCTTTTTTACAACATCATAGGAGTCATTATTCTTTATTTTGACAATCTTAGATGAGCCTAAATACAATGATTTTAACTTAACATTTGATCCAAATAGCGTTCTTTTGATTGCTACTAAGTCATTAATTTTATAAAATTTTAGAGAACGTTTCCGAAGGTTATATATTTTATGTGTTTGCTTATTTCGTTCCTCTACCTTAAATATTTGTTTCTTTGTATCTTTTCGAAGTTCTTCTCGGTAAGTTTCAAAACTATTTTGAATTTCTGCGTCAATTATTTCTTTAATGCTTTCTTTTCCAGAAGTATAATCAGTATCTGCTTGAAAATTAGAAGCATTCTGTTTGCTTACTCCAGATATAAAATTAAAAGCTGATATTGCTTTAGGAAATCTTCCTTTTGGGACAGAAGGTTCTTCAAGGAAAGATTTACGCCTTTTAATAACCTTTTATTAGGTTTAGTTGATTTATAAATCGAAGTCACACTAGATGGTGTTGGAACAGCAGCAGCATCCCACAGGTCTCCATAATGTTCCCAATCATCAGCAATAAGAATTTCTCGCAACTGACGAAATTCTTCATGAGTGATGCACATTTTTCTTTCCAATTCTGCTTGTTTAGCAAATAATCTCTTCTCCAAAATTTTTCTCATGCGATCCTTTTCAAAAGGTAGCTTTTCTTGCATTTTCAGTTTAATATGTTGAACTTCTTTTTCTTTCTCAGACAGGATTTTATCTTCGGTTCTCATCTGAAATTTTGCTTCTACTTCCTTCTTTGCTTCTGATAGTTGTTTCTGTAACATTTCTACAGTCGGTTCTGATACGGTAAGTTTTCTTTCAAAGATCTAACTTGTTGTCCAGGAGCATCCAAATCCATTTGTAAAACAGTTTTTTCCTGTTTTAGTTGTTCTTTACCTATAATTGGTAAACGTCTGGGTCTCAAAGAAATAGGTAGGTCATCTTTTAAAACAATATGCATTTCAGTATTAGTAGATTTTCTTTTGGCTTGACTCCTTTAAGATATTCAGATGTATCAGTATCCAGTTCTTTAGGTGGAAGTTTTTCTTGCTGTTTACTCTTTCTTAATATTGATATTTCTATTTCACCAGCATTATATTTAACTAATTTCTCAGATTCTGCATTCTTTCTTTTTCTAGAACATTTTGGTCCTGAAGTGGGGTTTTGGGTTTTTTGAATCATTAATTTTTCTATTACTCTCTTTGATTTCCTGAAACTTTCTTATGTAGATTTTTTCTTTTTCCTTTAGGAATGGTAATTCTTCCCTTTCCTCTACGTTTTGCAGTTTTCCATTTTCTACCGTTTAACATCACATTTTTCTTTCCTGAGACTCCTTCTTTTCTTTAATTCAACAGCATCTCCTTTAATTCAACCTCTATAGGGTTTATCAGTTCTATTAGAAATATGACTTTCAATTAAGTCTTTTACTTTCAGAGCTATGCAGGCTTTATTAATATCCGAACTATTATCTAACGCATTCTTCTTGATCAATACTTATATACATTAAATTCGATTCATTTTCGTCTTCCTTTTCATCATCTGCTACTTTCATAGATATGCCGTTATTGTTTATAATAATTTCCATTCGAGAAAGCAATTCATTTCCAATAACAGCATTTTCTTTCATTGTTCCTTCAGGCACAACATAAATATTTGATTTAATTTCTATGTCATCAATTTCTATGGAACCTTTAAAATAACCAATAGGTTTTACTTTATTGTTTCCAAAGCCTACCAGAATCAAATCGGAAGAATTAATACTAGGTGAACCAATTACTTTATAAATATTTTCCGATACTATATTTATATCACTTCCTGTATCAATGAGAGCTTTTACTTCTACATTATCTATCGTACAGTTTTATGCATATCATTCAACTGCTTGTTTACAAATATATGATTCACTCTGGCAAGATCATTTATTTTTCTCTTAATTTTTATACATTCTGCAGCTACGTGTCCAAATAAATTACAACGAAAGCATTTTTCCCTTGAGCTTATTTTTGCAAAAATTCTCCGAGTGACCAAGATTTCCGCAGT